TACCAAAATGCTAGGAAAACAAACAGGAGCTGCTTTGATGTTGAGCCACAGGCACAGGGTGAAAATTCCTGCTCTGCCACTGGTCTGACTTCATCAAGAATTGGGAATGGGGTTAATCAGTGCGGTTAACTCAGCACAGCACTAAGATTAAGGTATGTTAGTGACCAGGAAGAGGTATGGTAACTCCAGAGACCATCTTAGCATTGCTGCTCAGTGCTATACTATGCTAGCAGGCATACATGTAGCTGTGCTATCAGGACACTCCATGCTTGTTGCAGAGTACGTAAAAGTGCCCTGAAATTCAAGAAGTCCACTCTGAAGTTCACTGCCATGCTTCAACCCCAACTGTAGTGTAACTCAGCCCAGCCTCACAGCTGAGACAAGTGTGCACAATGGTAGCCAACCATAAAACTACGGGAAGCATTACAATGTAAAGCATAGCGGGGTGCTGCCAGAGATGGCACCCCAGAGAGCTACCAAGCTCTTTGTGCAATCCCCTTTTCTTGAAGAAGGAGCGGGACTTTGTGCAAATAGCAACACCTACAGGTGAGATTTTCCACCTGGATCCTTTGGGACAGACATCATGAGGGACTCCTGCTTCAAGCACTTTTTCTCCTGGAATGGAAACCACCCAGCTGTCAGCTCTCAGACCATACCAAAGTTTGAAGTCTCCTCACAGCTCCAATCGCAACCTCCATACTTGCTTTCTCTGGGGCTGGCAGAGCAGCTACTATCAACAAAAACACACGCAGAAAAAGCATTATGTATTTTGAACAAAAGCAGAGAAAGCTAATTTAAGAAGTGAGGGGGGAGGGGTAAGCCAGCTTTTCTATAAAGCTTAGTATGATCCCAGTGATGAACTAGTTGGATTAGCTACTTAGCAGCAGTGTAGTTTAAGCATCACGCGGCTCTGGAGAGGAAGCCTTTTGAAGATGGAAACAGCATTCCTGAGTTACCAGCTTCCTCAGCTACCACGAGCGCAGAAGCAAGCACGTAATAGCACACAGCTACTCCTCCAGCCACACCCAGTAGCCAACAAATTACCCACAGCACTCAGAATTTATTTAGCAACATTACAAATGGGCATTACATCTTTGGCCCTGCATGTTTACCCAGTACTAGGCAACAGGCGAGACCACTGCATTCCTGTGGCAGGAAGGTGGCATCATGAAAGCCCAGAGAAGGCTATCTACCTTAGGGGGTGTAGCCATAGCTAGGCCTAACATGAATGTTTTAAATACCAGGGGCCTGACACACTCACTTGAAAGGCTGGTGTTTGTGACATCCCTCATTGTACAGCGCTGACACAGTTAGGTCCATTCCTCACCTACCCTGTGAGGCACATCAGGTAGGCATGCAGGAGACCCCGCTCAATGAGTCTCCAGATTTAGCTGCCATTTTCTGTCAGAGACATCCAGCCCCTACAGGATGAAGTTATTATTGTAAAAAGCAGGACAAAGGGGGGAAGAGAAAACAAAACACCTTTTTCCTCAGCACTAATTCCATTTTTGTTTCATGCTCACATTAGGCAGCCTGCTCCCTACATCCTCGAACAACAAGGCCACGGTGCACGGGCCAGGCTCGCCTGGGACTTGGGCAGATATGAAGGCTACCTTCACCCACGCAGCAAATGGGCAGCTGTGATTCAGGCAGCTCAGCCACCGGCACTTCCCAAATCAAAAGGTGAGGGGTTTTCTCCATTAGAAACACACCTGAAAAGTTAAAGTGCTTGCACCAAGGCTGCAGTGGCCCTTACAGCCACCCACCACCTACAGAAGGAAGGAGAAGCTATTGGTTTGGAGATGTGGCATAGGATTTTCAATTTCACATAAAGCAGGGCCACACCATGAATAAATGTCAAAAACTTTACACATTCCAGGGAATGAAAAACAGTTCAAAAATGCTCAATGCAAAACATCTATAATTTTCAAAACTGACATGAAGAATTTTAGGAGACTTGTCCATCTTAAAGCTAAAATGACCTTTGCAAACCTTAAAAAAAAAAAAGTGCTACACTACCATAAAACACCAAAGAAAGAAAAATGAAAACATTTACATAAGAGTAACAAGTAGAAAAGAGGAGAAAACCTTCCAGGCTTTATTTACCTGGGAAAAAGATGAGGTTGTAAAATAAGGTTAAATGGTTGATAAAATTAAGGACAGATTTGAGACAAACGTGTTATATACAGGCTTGGAATCCACGTTAGAAGGGAAAACATTTTTGTGAGCCCATTATCGAAGTCCTTGACTCCACAGCACTTTTATCAGACAGCACAACCACCCCAGGAAGATCTCAAGCAGACGTAAGCATTGATCCATATTTCTGCATCCACAAACAGTTCCCTTCCCCTAGAAGTGGGAGCTTACTTGTGAGACTCCTCACAGGAGTCTCTCAAATACCAAATGCCAGATTGCAAATGGCATCACTGCAACTCCAAACAGAAGAAATCCAATTTATGAGATTATATTTATTTTTGAGTGCTTGGCTGTCACTTCTAAGCCCTTTGGCCTTGTGTTGACCTTTAGGATTTCTAGACAAGATGCTACTCTACTTGTACTACTTAAACTGTTTTAGCTCTGGGATTGTGCCAAACCAGCAACTGACTGCAACTATTATGAGAGTAATTTTCCAGCATGTGGATTACTAGCATGTGGCTACTTAAGCTAATTTTATATGTGATTGGAAGACTTATAGGTCACAGTCTCATGGTTTATCACTCAGCTACATATCCCTTATATCCAAAATCCCATTTAACATTGACAGTTGTGTTCTCTTTGACTGCAAATACTTGGAAATTCAAAGGATATGGTGCATAGATGATTAACAAAACTTTTTCATTTAGTGAGAAAAACAATGGTGGAATACTGGCACAAGACATGGTTGCCTTATGATACTGCTCATGTTTACTCATGTCTACTGTAACCTTGAATTCCTTATTACATGTAAGGAGAATCTCTTCATAGGTTCTGTATTTCTTTGCCATTTATTTAGAAGGTTAAATCAGTTATTCACTGATATTTTGAGTCACATATTTTGATATAAGCACAGAGTTTACTGCAGTTTATTGACAAATTTTAAAATTGACAATGCAGAGTTGTCAATTTTAAAAGCCAAATAGTAGAAGGTAGTCTTAGACACACCAAAGTATTTATTAACACAGGTCCCCACCCCTTCCCAGTGCTTGGCTATGTTACACCTGTCTGTTTCTCTGCCTCTTGCTAACCTGCCAGGCAGTCCGTACCATACAAAGTCTAGAACAGAATGGCTAAGCGTAATTCAGAAAAAAAGCGTAACAAGTTGTCAAGAGCAACAGCATAACCACACTTTTTAAAAAAAAATCGGTTAAAACAGAGCAGAAAAACTTCATGGGACCTTACAAACCCTGTGTGAAAACCAAGGTTGCTCCACAGCACAACCCCCCAAGCCAATACAATGACCCATGAGCAGAGACATCAAGAGTTGGATCTCCAATTCATTCTCTCTCTTGTTCCTAGCTGAGGGGGGTCCTGTCCCTCTTCCTTTGCCCTACACTTGCATTTATTGGAGCCAAATTCAACTTGTGAACCCAGTATTAACTTTTTTTCTTGAAACACGTTGCACTTGCACATGAGCAAGCCAATGAACACAGAGCAAGAGACAACACAAGAAGCTTGCAGATGCAGCCAGTATGACAGGAGGAAAGACTGGATGGAGTAACAGGTTTTTCACCTTATTACAGGCATTAACTATTAAATCATTTCAAACCTTCTCACTTAAATGCAGAATAGGGAGGCAGCTACACAATTTGGACTGAGGTTACAGCTTACCACAGCATTAACATTTCAATGTACTTTTCACACAAAAAAAAACCCTCCATTGTCATAGACACCAATTTTAGCTAAAGCTATAGCAGGTGACTGTGTTTGTTAGTAGTCCTGCACAGACTACACCAGAGTTGTAGCAGACAGCACAGCAGACATTTCTCCTTGTTTCAACTGTGTACAGAAGCATTTAGTATCTTAGATCTCCTTATTTCCTTATGCTCGATTTCCAAAGACTTCAAAGTTGATAACCACTACAGCGAAACCAGAAAGCCAGGAATTATATTCAGAGAACAATGAAAAGCCCTTGATACCGAAGTTCGTAGGCTTTTGTTATATGCAATCCTTGTTAGCCTGACCATCAAATGAATCTCAGAAAATTTCATTCTACAGATAAGCACTTACACAGTACAAGCAAGACCCACCTGTTCGAAGATGTTAAGCATAATTGCAAGTGATCCTTTCTTCTCTGTTTTTTTTTTTTTATGAAGACTTTCCGATAAGCTGCAGAACCTAAAGTGCTCTGCAGATCCTAGGCTTCCAGTGTTTCGAGCTGCTCATTGCCTTCTAGGTAACACCCAGCTGATAGTTCTAAACCAAGCAAATATCACAACTGAAAATCAGATGTACGTGTGCTCATAACATGAACTCAGCTTTTTCAGTCTGCAATGCTAAACTGAAGTTTAGTTCATGGAGGGTTTGACACAAGTTAAAGACTTCCTTATAAAACTAATTTAAGTCCACCAACAATGTTATAGTCTAGTACTCACAAGGTGGTCATTAATTCCTTTTACATTGAGTGATTTTTAAGAAATGGATGTACTATGCAACAGCAACACATAGCTCTTCTCATGTGCGTTTGAGCTAGATGCTAGTCACACAGGCACAGGGAACCTCTGCAGGACCTATGCCAACCGTTAAGATCCTCACTTACCACTATTCCTTGCAGTTAGACTTCATACAACAAGAGTTGTTGTTTACATACATAATTGGAGTACAGCTTCCAAAGATGTGAATAGTATTCAATTAAGTTTCAAATCTTGTGAAGCCTTCCTATTAGATTCTTGCAACATTCACTTACTGCACTAATTGGTTATTGGATGTCCATGCACTGTTAAGTATCAACTACAAAAAAAAAAAACAAAAACAACATTTTCAGAAGTAAATTGTAAAAAGGAAGATACCAAATACCACTCACATTCATTTCAGAAAGTTTATTGCACCAAATGCCGCAAAGAAATAGACCAAAATGATAGCGTACATAAACAACTATAAGAAAAAACACCAAAAACATGTAGTCTGACATTAGTATTCAGTCATTCCTAAAAAAAGCCTTTGCTCTCCAAGCATGCAATAGCAACACATGTTTTTATCAGCTATGGAAAGCCTGCTATATATGTCAAACTAACACACTTGACCTAAAAAAACATCTAGAGTGTATTCAGCAGTTCAGACTCAGTTTTGATTGGGGCCTCTTAACTGAAGAAGAGGTTATACTTGAGGGATAAGTGATCATTGTGTGAAATTTATATGCAGGAGTTTGTGTCTGAAAAGGCTTTCTGACTTCTAGAGAAAAGATGCATTTTAATAGGGAGTGGGGAAGACCATCTAGAGTATGTCATTAGAAATACGAATTAAAGAATTCCAGAATCAGTGTGTATTTGTTTCTTTTGGGCAGAAGACAGCTGTATGTATCAAATCAGAAAGTACCTATTTAAATTAAAAGTGTTTAACTCTTGTTATTGTTTTAGGTTAAGGAGTTCAATTAAATACTACAATTTAATAGCTAATTCTTCCCCTCTGCGTATGGTTTAGTCTTGCCAGAAAAAAAATACATTCTTTAAATTGCACTGTGTAAACTGCAGTTATGTGGGATTTTGGAAAGACTTGTGCACTCCCACTTAAACAAAATACGCATTTAAGTTTACAAAAACTACATAATACTGATAAAAACTTTGGAATATTTGAAAATTAAGCTACATTTAAAACACCTCTGTACATTCATATTACTTCTCATTCACTTAAAATAAAAACAGGAACATGCCCTAAAGAGGTCTAACACAACATCTGTAAATACCTACTGCCCTGTCATGCCATACTAATTTATATGAACAGCAAGATGCTACCAAAACCAAGTTAAAGACTTAGAGTCAAAAAAGCCCTAGAAGGTGGAATCCCATCAAATGAGGTAGTATCTTTGGTGGAGGGGAAAGATAGGTATTTAACTTTCTTCAGACTAAAGCCTTTTAACAATAAAGGGATTTAATTTCAAACCCCCCCTTTCCTCCTCCACTAAAACTGTCAGAACAAGGGAGTTCTTCATATGATTTCTGAAGAGCAGCAAAATGGTAAGAGAAAGCAGCAAGAACTATAAAGTTTTCGCCTGGGCTGAAGGAAGTCCAAGTGCTTTGACCATCAGCTCACATGCTGTCCTTAGCTTAATGTCTTACCAGAAGGCAGTTTTTCTTGTTTGCTTGTTGTTTTTTTAGTAGGTGTAGTATTAATCAAATGTTACTTGTTATGGCATTAGCCTTGAAATCACTGAATGTCGGCTGACCTTCGACTTCCTTAGAACACTAAAAGAGCAAAAGTGTTTCTGCACATCTTTCAAGAATTATCAACATGTTCAGATAAAAACCCAACTAATGCTTTATGAGAAACGTAATTGTTTTTTTTAATAAATTCACCCAATATTCACGAGTGACATGAAATGAAGTACATGAGAAGTTCTATATACACTCAGGGAAGCAGTTTCAAAGCTCTACACACATGCACGCCCACATTCGCCATTACAAGGATAGGTCAGGAATATGTGACTTGCTCTGTGGTTCTCACTTTGTCTTAACCTTGTGAAATAGAAAGTGATAGCTGCTAACAGCTAGATGCAGAGGTAAATTTACTTTCCAGCAGATAGAATTCACAGACCAAAAATATGAAAATTTTGCCTAATTATTAGCAGTAGGAGAAGACCTGAACCACAGAAAGATTTTAGCCTTTGGAGACAGAATATCAGGGACAAGCCTATGAAAATGCAATAAAAGAACTATCTGGAATGTCAGATCAGAAACGCAGCATATAAGGATCAGCTTTAGAAGCACTGTATCAGAATATTAACTATCCCTCCACTTGGGAACAACCCCTCTTCACAGTAAGTCAGTCTACCCATTTCCCCTTAAAAAAAGCAACACAATGTTCATCAAGACCCCAATCACATTTAAACAACTCACAATATGCACATTTCATTGTTTCAAATCATTGAAAGTTTACTGTAGAAAAGTCCAAACATCCAGGTAGTATGAAATAAAATCACTTTTAATAAAAGTGTGTCCCTTCAGTGTTAAAAATCTGTAATCACCAATGAGGACAACACATAACTGGTGACCAGAAGTTTCTCATCAGAATTCACTATTCACAAGCAATTGTGCTAGCAATTTGCTTGCAAACTGCCAGTTTCATACACCTCATTCATGCTGGCTCACAACAGAAAGGTCCAAGATTCATTTTTCCTTTTCTTTAAGAATGTTTGTTTTGATCCTTTGTTCTTTCCTCCGTCTGGTCCATAGTTTCACATCCAGCTCAACAGTGCTTTATGCAAAAATTAAGTTTTTTACATTCATGTTATCAACCACATGAAAACAGTAAAATACAAAATTTTATTTTGCTTTCTAGAAACACAGAAGGCCAGTATCAACTCATGGAGAAGTAGTTTCTGGTTTCAAAGCAGTTAGTCTACTAAGGAAAGGCACCTGGGATGATAGTTCAAGATTACTGTAGAATCATAAAGGGTAATTGCAAACATTCATAGTAATACCAAATATTGGAGTTTGTCCCCTACTTTTACTTCAGACAATGGTCCTCTTTTATACCTAATATAGTGACCAACTAGTAGCCAGAAAAAAGTGATATATCTGACTGAAGGTTTGTAAGGGTTAACCCCCCCCCCCAGATAAGATTGTCTTCAATTTGTGCCAATTGCTTGGTCTATGTGCACACATGCCCTAATAGCACTGGTATCATACAGAAGGCTGTCAGATTCATATTCCGCCGAGATAGTAATGCTTGATGACACCAAGACAGGTTTAATTCCCAGGACTACAGTCATACAGAAACTCAGAGTTACTGAAGTTGCATCAGCAACAAATGTAAACTTGTAGCAGAAATTCCATAAGGCTTTCCCACAAAAAAACCACCTCAGAAGTTCATTCCGTTTTCAGGGTAGAATTACTTCTAGTCATGAGCTCATCTGAATACCTCCTCATTAAAAGAGAAGCAACCATAGTTTGCTTAATTTCATCCTCACCTCCATTCCCACTTAAGCATCTGGCTGCTGAATCCAGGTTTCTTGTTCTGAGCTGGTCATTTCTACTATACAAAACCATGCTTATGCTCTGCAAGAAAAATCATGTCCCATCTAATACACTTGCGTATAGGAATGCTATGTACATAGTTTACAACTCCTCCTCCCCAGAAAAGAAATACACCACACCACACTCATGAGTGTAGCATTAGGAAATCCATTCCAACCCACTTGTTCTGTAACTGTTACTTCATGGTTTTGAGCAGCGTTTTGGATGGCAGCTCACAGTCTGCCACATAGTGTTAACTTTTGTCCTTTGAAGAAAAAAATGCAAGGATGCAGTCACTTTAAGTCAGAACTGAGATTGTAAGAAAAACCTGAATGCCTTTTACATTATGTAAACTGAAGTCCTCCGATCAAACGTCCAGCTGAAACCAGAATCGGAAGATGGTAGAATGTACAGTCATCACCTGCTTTTCTCAGTGTTCCCCTTTATCAGCGTTTGGCAACTGTTCTTCTTTCAACATTCCCATATTCTTTCTTTTACTTTAAGGGAACGACTATCCTGAGATTTTAATTTATAAGAGTATTTGAGCAACATACGGAGAATGAGTACTTGCTATAGCAGCCAACAAAGGCAAGTCATTGGATTCAATCCTAGAAATTAAAAAAAAGAGAGACTTAAATACACAATCATCTTCCCAAAAGAAGATAAACACAAGAGGCTATTCTTCATTCACTTCAAAGAAACTGAAAATGTCTTGCTATAACCAAGTTCATCATTTAATTTTTTGTTCATGCTGTACCAGTAAAGTGATAACATTTAAAAACAAAAAGGTCTGCTACCATTTAAGTGAAAAAGATAGTATTACATTTTGTGGTATATAATTTTTTTGTGGTAAAAATAAAAGTTTGATTTATTTGCTAATCCATAACCCTTAGCTTGCAGTCAGCAGGCATCAATAAGCCCAGCCAAAGAAAATACTGAACATCAACTTATGGAAGACTGCAATTTCATGTTTCGAATACAACTCAGTTCACCATGCAGCAGCACCTTCTCACCAAGAATTACCAAAAGCTGGAAGTATCAATTATTAGGCAGTAAAAGTAGCACAATGTCTCTCAGATGCAATGCTCAGTTCCAACCATTTCCAACAGAACACTCTTTAAAGGTCAGTAAGTATGTTTATATACATTTTTATGCATACACACAAGGGTTTACTTCAGGGTCTCATTACTTTAAACTACATTGCTCAGTATGACATCTTGAACAGCCAGATATAAATTAAATTTTAGCTACAGTGCTTAAAAATCATCTTCGTGGAAGTGCATTCATTTCTTGCCCCTTCCTCTCATTCTACTTTCACAGCACATGCATCCACAAAGTACTTGGCTAGAACTGAACAACCTCCAAGTAACCAAAATCAGAACTTTCTTCATTCTGAATATTTTTCATCCTTAAGATTTCAGAACAAATGATTTTCCTCCTGATGGACTGTATCTCCTGATGGCTCATTGGAACCCATTTCTACACTTCATTAGGTTCATGAGAGAGAGGGGAGTAATAAACATGGAATAAGTAGCAAGTCCCCACAGGAACATAACTACATTCAGAAACTGAAAAGCAAAGTAACTGCCTCAAGTTTTGCCATAAATTAAGACTGATATCTGCAATACTCACCCCAATACAATTCCTAGTTCTTTTACATGCACTCTTGTATGTCCTCGTAGATATTCTGAAAGCATTTTGCTTTTGAGATACATCTCTTGTAGTCTATCCTCAAGATGCATTATGCACTGTAAATACAGACCACAAACCTCAGAATGGCTTTAAAACAACTGCATGCATATATTACAAAAATAGCTAAAATGATATGCTTACATATCTTAGCCAGAACACCTTTAAGTCTCCCCCCAAAAATCTGTAAAGAAGTAAATGTGTTACAGTTGTGCTGGCAGCTTAAAATACACTAGCTTTCCCTCATCTCAAAGAATTGGAGTATTTCAGTTTTCTTGTGCAGCAAGTTTGTTCCAGGAGTCAAAAAGAAAGCCATCCAATTTCCCTTCAACTCAGACACAGTTTCTCCTGACATAAAAGTTTTAACCAGGTTCAAAAACATTCAAGATACCTTAATAAGAGTCTAACCAGAATACCTAACAAATGTGTCTTTGTTACAAGTCAGTGTTTTTTCCTGAAAGTGTCACAGTTCCTAAAAATCAGCACTCTCTTCAGCACCAGAGAAGTCCTATTCAAGAAACTAAAACATAAATGAAAGACACCATTATCTTCATCATAAAACTACACCTCTTTTGATCTCTAATTTACTGGAGAAACCAGGTTACAAATCCTTTTTTTTTTTTTTTTTAATTAGCACTACATAATTCTAGTTTAAAACTCAAACATTTGATGTTGTTTGCAAAAGGTAATAGTTCAAGTTGAAATACCAAAATAATTACTCCAATTTCGTTCAGCAGTAGCATGCTAGAGTTTTTGGTTAAAAACAGTCAGATGGTGCATAATTTCTCATACATCAACTGCAAGAGAGCAGACAAAAACTTCGGAGACTTTTTTTAAAAACAGTAACACAGGGTGAATACATGGGACATCTTCACTAGGTGAGTAGGCAGGCTGTTTTATCAGGTATTTTGTTCCAGAACACAGGGTAACTCAATTCAATACATTCTTTCTTTCCACAGAGATGACCACATCAAAGACAAAAACAAGAAGCGTGTGCAGAACCTCATTATCAAATAGTTAATCATCCAGCAGGCGGAGACAACAATTAGAATCAGTAGTAGCAAATACCTCCAGGCCATCCTCTGGTGTATATTTTAAGTTTGATGGAAACCATAAGTATTAGAAATGGAATCTTGTGCAAGCAGTTCTGCTAATTAAAAAAAAAAATAGAAAAAAGACTCATGCTCATGGGTAGCCTACCATGCATTTTTCTGATGGTCTTGAGCAAGTTGCTTTTTGAGACTGGTTTCATCTGTTTGCTTCAAGCAGTTTTCACTGAAGCCATTATAATCATAACACTTCTGATTCTAGCCTAAAGGAAGACATTCTTACCGTCTCTACTACAGGTAACTAATACAAAAAGCCTGTTAGCACTTCCCCAGTAGTTCATGTAGGCATGCAGCTGATTCCCGAAGTGGCAATTCAACATATTTCAATTTTACTACTCAAAAGCTGAAGGACTACAGATTTTTTTTTTTATTGTTAAGAGGAAGGAAGAATTTTATATTGTTCTAAGAGATTCTTTAGAAAAGATTATCCACTACTCCTGAAAGCCAGCAAAGAATCAAGAGCCTTTCCTCCTCAAGCTCATCCTTTTTTTAAAACCATTTTGTTCAAGATGTCCAGTGAGGTACAGAAGAACAGTAATTTTTTTTGATGCTAGCCTCCTCTTCAGCTTCTCACTGACTTCATTTAAAATCATTGAATGTAGCTTAAAATGAGCTAGAAGGTGCAGGTAAAATCTTTGTCATACTGCTGATAAGCAACATTTGCAGTCTCCACTTCCCTTTCACCCTGGCATACTGCACAACTCTGCAGGAAGGTTGCCAGTCAAGTGTCACAAAGTCATCAGCACTTGTCTTCCGTCCAGTCTCAAGTTGGGTTTTGTTTTTTGTTGTGCCATAAAAAAATTACTCTTCTAAACAGTAACTGCAAGTCAAGAAATATACACTTAATCCTCAAACATACTGCCTTACACATTTCTGATTTATGTTATTATATATGCTTTTGTCAAAATGTACATCAAATAGAATGTTCATTATAAAAACATGGACTTCTCCCTCCAGAGTTGAATGGAACACCCAACTTCCATTCATCCATTATTCTGTTCCTGTTAGCAAAGACCTACAAACTCTGACAGCTCAAAGCATCTTCAATACAGATTATAGAACAACAGAAAAACAAGCTACTAGGACTACCATTTTACTGCTCTTTTTTTTTTTTTAAAGGAAGGAAATAAAATTAGTCCACCTCCAAAAGCCACTACACCACACAAAGCATTCAGAAGTTGCATATACGAGGTCCAGGGCAGCACTGGAAGAAGTACTTCAGTTGCAGAACCAACTTACGAGTTCAAAAATGCCAAAATTTAAGGTGTTCCTGTGCAAGCATGATGACATAATTCTAACCTAAGTCACATGTTTTCCAATATACAGAAGTATCCAGAAAGGACACTGATGTACTTTGCCATAGTACTTGACTTCAAGTACTTAAATACCACTAATTTTATCCAAAGCAGCATCAATTAATACTATTTTCAGTTGTTAATATTCAGCTCCACCTTCTTATTCTGTCTGCTAGCAGTCATTACACAAGCTTCCAATAAATAAAGTTTCTCAAGGCTATCTGCTGAAGACCAAGCCAGTCCTGTTTACTCAAAAGACTACAGAAAAAAGATGCACCATTTCCCCCCAGCTACAACTACGTGAAAAATTGTTATGATTACTGCTGCCAGACTTGTGGGTGACTTAGCTCTTTTGGCTGATTACAGCAATCAGAAAGCATTACTGATCTGTTCTGATGAACTCTACTACTAACATGGACAGGAAAGGATATTATGGGATGGGAAGCACACACTATGAGAAAGTAACATCCCCTGCTGCAACCCATCCGACCCCAAGTGTTTCGTGTTTCCATCTCCTCCCAGGAATGCTGTAGGCATGTCTGCCAGGTGGTCTGAGACAGCACTGGCTGACAGGGTGGGCTACACTACGCATAAAACACAGAAGGTCAAGTAAACATGCAATACACATGTAACTGAGGATAGAGAAGAGGCATCCACTAGGTGGAGTTGGTAAAAAAAAAAAAAATCAAGAATAAAAAATGGTATGGTAGAAACAGTAGAAGCTTCATACAGTAGAGAATGAGGAAATTATACAAACAAAATAATCTACACAACTCTAATCATAAATACACTCATGCTAAAGTTGCCTAAGCAACTTTTGTTCCGTCTTATTTTGGAGCAGCTGACTTTAATCTTGGTCTATTACAAGTAAACTAAGTTAAAAACAGTACCTGTAACTAAACTGTAGCACGCATTCTTTTAAATACATTGTACCAACTTTGCTATACCAATAAAGAAATATCTGAAACAATCCAATAAAATACAGTGTGCAAAATTCTGCATTTTCTATTTAAACTATTTCCATTATTTCTTTACTGAAAACTGAAGCTACTTACAAAGTCAGCTGGGAGATTGAGTTTATAAAGCTGTAAAATGGACTGCAGTAAACTGGATACTTGACTCGAGACCAAGACATCCTTGCCTAATTTCACATTGTCCATCATTTTTCTCTGGCTGGTAGCCACTTGTACGTTCCATTTATCTGTGTCTGCAATAATGCAGACAGCTTCTGCTATGGGTTCATCTAGCACTGGATGCTGCAAGAGATGCAAGACAAACGTTATGGAAAACTTGCATATGAATTTTCACAGCTTAGATCAAGGCTCCACTTTTATTCACTCTGAGAAAGTGGTCCAAATGAATGCTTGTCCAGTAGAAAACCAAAGGCATCTCAAAAAAAAAAAAAAGAGACAGAATACCGTTTCAGAGACAGAGCTGATATCCAGTAACATTAGGTCAAAGTCTGAACTACCAATTTAAGGCTTTTTTTTTTTTTTAAGTAGTGCTTCAGAATCACTATGACATTTTTTCTTCACTAACAGTAATCCAGCCTTCCTGCAAAGGTTAAGTTTCTTCCAAAACAAACAGAGTATTAATTATGCTGATTCAGTGAGTGGTTATACTCACTGTAAGGGATTTCACTATGCACAATGACAACAAGGTATTTATGAAGAGACAGTATCATATTAGAGCAATTTGGTGTTTAAACAACTGCATGCACATCACCATTATGGACAGTGTTTAACTCATTCCTACAGGATGATTCTTGATTGCTATAGAAAGAAGCAATTGACAATCACTAGATAAACATCTAATATTGAATACTAAACACTTAACATTCCTTTGGTGAAAGATTTGTTTTAAGTTACTTGGTGTAGCTGGAGTAGAGTAAGAATATCTCAAAGATCTTACCTACTGCTAACTGCTTTACGCAGTTGGTCATTTCTGCTACAGCCTAGTGTAACACAGGCTTCCACAGGACTTCATCTCCCTTGCAACACATGCCACTAAGTGGTAAACTAAGATGTTTCCAACAACTTGTCTACCATTTTTTATGAAATAAAGGTAACTGTCTGCTATTGTGACTGAAAACAAGCAGTCAGTTTTTTCCTTGTTTGTAATTTCAAGTTGCAAACATTTTTCCCTGTGTTCACCTTTCAAGAAAAGACCGAAGAGAGTATAAAGGGGAAAAAAGCGATTCTTGCATGAACAGGCTTCTCAGTCATTTAAGGGGTTTTCTTTCAAGAAAGAAGACATATCAGGTGTGGCTGTTAAGGACTGGCAAGTACAGAGAAAGAGGTCTTATTTAAACTACAAACTACCATGTTTCTGTAGCTTTAGCTTCTCAGTAATAGCAACAACTCACACTATGACTTGGAACAGTATTTTAACTCACATGCATCGCATGAAGGAGGTCTGCTAGTAGACACTGCTTGAGTTTTTCATCATTATTTACTCCATGCAGCACTAGATCAGGCACGTATGTGTGACAGTAGCCACCCAGAAGCGATCTTCCAAAGTTTTTCACACACTGACTGCTGATTGTGTTTGACCTGAAATACAAAGCAGGTATGATTCTTGCTTGACAGACTCCATTCAGATGATGATATGAATACAAAGTTTCATTTACTACCCCTACCTCTATTAAAAATATTAATTATTTTTTAAAATTTAACATTGTGTTGATTCCTTCAAATTTCAGAAACAGCAAGTCTGCATTTATCAGAGCTTGGGGTCCATATGCCCCCCAGCCTTGTTCTGTGGTTAACAGGTTTGCTAAATTTGAGTTCTCACTCAGCCCAAACAGCAAAATCTTCCTATCTGCTTAACATGTGCATCAGCAAGCTCCACATGCACCTGCAAAGCTCAGAAGTTTTCAAATAGGATGCCCTTATTTATTTCAAATCTTTTTAGTATTTGGCAGTTTAAGCAAAGATGAAATATCACTAGTCCTCAGACAGAATTGTTTACACTGTTTCAGGCAATTGATACAAACCAAAGTATGATTTTTTTGTTAAACATTTGAAGAATACCTTTGTCACCAAACTTCAGTACCTTTTCAGCATTTTTTTTTCCCCAGTCTGTTAACAAGAATCCTAAACACTCTACCAGTGGCTGGTATGGATTTGTTTGCAAGGAAGTCAATCAAGATCCCAGTGGATTTCAGACTTGAAATTCTGAACACCTCTAATACTGCACAAGTTTTGACTCTGTTTAGTTCTAAATTAAACTCCTTTACCTTGGTAAAGGAAGCTCCACTTCCACAAACTCTTCAAGTCTCTTGCTGACATTATCATGATGAACTTCGTCAGGAATACAACAATCACCTTCTTCATCGCTGGCTCCAAGAGCACTGTCTGAACTCTCATTCCTTGGAATGTCCCCTTCAACTCTGAAGGGGGTTTTCCTTCCAGCATCCCCATAGGGGACATCTTTAGCACCTACTTTAGGGGACTCCTTTCTAACAGCAGAACCACCTTCCACACAGTCCGGTGAACAGCTCTCCGGATTGCCAGAGCATAAAGTTCTAGTTTCTTTCAAGCTTGGCAACGTTACAGTTTCTACGTTATCAGTGGACAAAAGCAGTTCACCAGATACTGTGTTCCCTAAGTTCATTTCAGTTCCTTTAGTTTCCATATGTTGGTTATTAAGCATACTCTCCTTCCCCTCACAAGGTGGAATTTGTGCATAACAAATACTGTGTTTACTGAAGGGCAAAAAGGCAGCTTCGCAACTTTCTTTTTGATTCTGGGAAACATCCACAGTCAGATCTGCTGAACTTGAGGCACAATGTATTACCACCTCTGGATTTTTTCTGAATGCCTTCAGATTCTCCTCCATTTCTCTCCTTTGAGTTTCTAAGTCTGACTCTGGTGACGCAGAACTTCCAATCCGAAAGGTGACCTTTTCCAACTGGGAACTCCTGCGGCCAGACCTTTCAGGACAAGGTAAAGCAGATGACCTACTAGACAATTGCTTTTCCACTTTCCTTTCATTCTGGTTCTTGTTCTTCCTTACATCCATTAAATTCTCCAACTTTGATTGCTCTTCAAAGTGGTAGGACCCAGTCCCTGTATCAGTGACAGTTCTTTTCCTACCATCAGCTGCTCCATTATGCAAAGTGCTAGTTAGACAGTCAACAGCTGTGTCAGAGTTCTGACTGACTTTTCCTATTGCTTCTTTTTCTTTTGAAGAATCTGTCGTAGTGCAAGTGCCTTCTGGATTATGTACCCACCCTGCAATACTGTTGTTCTTACTTCCATCACTCTTAGGAGGTAGGATTGGAGGCACAAGAGCAGGTTCATTTTTGACAGTGACCACCACATAATCAGACTCCTCTACCTCTCCCTTTTCTAGTGCAGTTGTGATCTTGCTTCCATTTAGCACTTGTTCTCCTTCTCCAAGCACTTCACTCCAAGTCAGCTGATTCTCTTGTAGCTCAGAGCACCTAATGAAGTAAGTTAGGACATACAGCAAGCGCTGCACCAACTCTTTACGTTTTCCAACAATAACAGTTCGAGTCAATCTAACCGGAGAGCCTATGGCACCATAGAGATCACCTAGACAGGAAAACAAGAATTTCACATGCTTATACATGGCTGTAATAAGCTATGCCACTTATACTCAACACATTTTGAAACAGCATTCACTGCAGTCAGTTCATTTCTTTCATGGTAAATTCATAGAAGTTCAAAATACCAGAATAACAAAAGAAGTCTGCTGACATTTCTTATATCCGACCCATATCCAAAAGGGTTTTATTGTCCTTGTGAAGGTTTGACTGTTACTACTCAGTTTCTTGCAGTTCAAATTGATTACAGGTTTTTGATAACATTTACAAGATATTATCACTTGGAATTTGACACAACAGTTGCTGAAGAATATATATCCAAAGCTCTGAAGCCCGTGACACTGTTTTCTAATTTTGTACTAGTTTCCCTCAAAAACATTCTCTTTAATTGCAGTCACTTTTTCTTCTCCTTTCTGTTAAACACCAATTCACATACAGACCAAGTCTAAATTGTATTTTTTAAGATTCAGATATTCAAAACAGCAGAAAAAGTGCAGTATCAGCATAATAAATGTGGTTCTGAAAATAGAACTACTTTACTGTGCAAGGCATGTGCACTTTGTGCACTGGGAGTCAACCCCACTAACCTTTTACTTTCGTAGGGAGGAGGAGAGAGTAGGGGAGGACTAGAAAACATTCATTATTTAAAACACAATTGTAATATGAGAAGTAGGTACTAGGGCCTAATCTAAGTCTCCCTAGAACTACTTACTTGCTAGCTCATTTATCCCGAAGAACCGCTATACCCTACTTTATTGAGAAGAGCCATCTATCTTCCAGCAGCGTATCATGCTCTATCAGCTGGAGGGTTTCCACCCAACATTCTGGGAGAAACAGACAGATGGCTGCTACAGAAAAGTTCACACACACTATTAGAGACAAGGATGGGTTAACTCAAAAACTGGCTATTACCAGGTTAACCCAGCTGTCTTCACTCAATACCCATTGGAGTACACCCTCTAAATGTCTTTGCCCAACCAAACCCTGGCTGACATCACCAGCAGATGGGAAGCAGCCACCACAAGCTCAATTTCCTTTAGCCAATATAAGCACTCGCATTGAAAGCGAATTTCTCTGGTTTGAGGCATTATAAGCTGTCTGCTAATCTAACACATTTTTCTAGGTGGTAAGTCCTTACTGAGGGCTGCTGTGTGGTGGCATCATTATGCTCTCTTCCCCCAGTTAGGGGCACCCTTGCAACCTGTCTGATGGCTTAACAGGCCAGCACACTCATTCCTCAGTAACCAAGTAAGCTGAAGACTGCTCAGGTAGAATTCCATTAACCTCAGTGCCTGATGGGCCACAAGGACTAGCAGTTTGGAAAGGAAATGGGAAGATAGCTTTTCTTTCAAGTTGAGCACAGTTGCTAAAGAAATCAGATTCAGGCTTAGCATTCATTTGCATGGTTGACTTTAAATACAACATTACTGATGCAACAGTAAAAATGTCACAGCTGTGGTCCTCAAAACATGCTATTGCTTAGCATGTTAGATCAAAGCTCATGTTTAAAAGAGTATGTCTTTCTTACAGCATTACCTACAAATGCATCTATGTAATTGTAACTGATATGCAGTATCTATTGAGGACATCGTTCTGGAGGGGGAAAGCCACATACAGCACAACACTTCATAGAAAGTCACTTCTATTTTAAAGCACCCAGACACTTTATTTATTTATTCTTTCTGAAGAAGGGGACCAGCAGAGGGCAACATCTCACTTTGCACATCAGTTGCTGCAACCACCTGATAGAAGGTTTTGGGCTTTGAAACTACCAAACAAAAACAGTAAGCATTTTGAGTTCAGCCACTCAGAACTCAGCTGGGCCAGTGCTGATAGCAATGCAAAGCCTCAGAAGGCAAAAAGAGGAAATGATTTCTTGACCAGTCACCAGTGGCAGCTCCTGGGAGGTACCACAACACCTACTGCTTATCTTACACCTCCCACTCCAGCTCTTTTTTTTTGTAACCCTGGCCTGGCTCTATCCTTAACACCCTAAGCAAGTTTCTGTTTTTCCCTCCCTGGATATCTAACCCATTTCTCCCATGCATAAGTCTTTAAAGACACACTAAAACAGGAAACTTCTATTACAACTACACAGCCAAGATAAGAATTCTTAAATTTCTTAAAGGCTATGGAGAGCTAAGTTAGACAATAAGCAAGAAACATGACCAGCATCACAGTGTAGAAGTCACATTACTGTTTTAGTGTGCATGTCAATACATTATATCACTGAAAGTTAAGGCTGATTTGGTACCAAACTCACACCTGCTGCCAAGACAAAGATTTTGAAGGATTCTACCACTGGCAGCATTGTTCTGAACTCTCACCCACTCATTTGATAGCATTATTTAATTCCCTGTACCAAGATAACAAAAGCTATGTGATTTTTGTTAGAGAACAACCTGAGGAGCTTGGAATAAAGAGAAAATCTTGTCCCAAGCCCACTCACATAACTCTGAATGAATGGAGGCTCTGCTACTTGCCATACTTTTATTCTGCTGTCTTTGTGTCCATGGTAACTCCATGAAGAGGTAAATGAAGGCAGCCTGTGCAGTCTCAACTACATTCTCTCCATCCAGGATGTTTCCCCTCATTCTTCCCAAACTGCTCAGATCATTCACAGTATTTGCACCCTCTTAAGATTTCTATAGAAAACCACTTAATCAGGCAGTGTAATTGGAGGACAACAAGGAACCAGTGAAGAACTGAGCACCTAGGCTACACTAACAGGCCTCCAAATACCCTTTAGCTTAATTCAAGACATCTGTTGGCAACTCTGCTCAGCTTGTACCAAGACAAATCAAATATCACCCAGACTTCCGCCACCGGTCAAGTACCTCAAGCCAGTGGCAGAAGAGTTATCATTATCTCAGCTGTCCTAGTCCAGATCTACCATGAGAAACCACATCCAATTCTAACTATGTACAAAGGAATGCATACTTCCAAGTAGCTTAGGTAAGAAGTGAATGCAGTGAAAGCTTTCAATTTCCTACTGACCAAGCTGTGCCCAGAGAGGGTTATACGGATGGGATTTTGCCAGCATGTTCACAAACTGTGATGTGCGCTTCTCAGAGAAGGCCTTTATGGGAGGATGGTCAACTGGCATTACTGTTGGCACCCAAGCCAGATGATACGTCAGCACCGCAGTTAACAAAGCAGCAAAGAACCTAGGAAAAAGAATATTGCACAAGTGTCAGAACATGCCCACATGCTCTGGGAAGCACACAAACCTTTAAGAAACTTTTTTTTGGGGGAGAATAGGTTGGGTAGAGGGGAAAATAAAAGCTTACTGGTTTTTGTTGATCTGTTCTATCAGAAAGGTAAATTCTTTAAGAAAACGTTGGCATAGCTGGTTCTTTTCCAAGGTGTTGGACATCATATTAAGCCACACAGGCTCTGCAATCCTTGGAACAGAATATAGGTTCCAGATGGTAATTCTGCTCAAAGAAGATTCCCAAAGATTGGCATGTTAATACATTCATTTCAAATTTGCAAATACAGGCAACCTATTCTCTATTGTCTATTGATTTTTATATATCAATTTACTTAGGTAGGAGCTAGGAGACTAAGCAAACTGGCATGTCTAGAAAAGTTTTCCAACTAGTGTCCAACAAAATTAGCCTGTTTAATTCAGAGTACCAGCAACATAGTGCCTTCAATTGCATATCCTTCCCTTTCTTGCATTCCTCTATGCAGTTTTATTCAGAGAAGTGCCAATTATTTGGTGGGGGGAGGTAACCTTTTCTTGAACTGCTGTCAACCTTCCCTCTTTTAGGTACCAAAAAAAGAGTGCCTTTGACAATAACTTTCCTGTCAGTTTCACCGTCCAGCATCTACACTTAACAGTAGACAACTCAACTGTCTGAATATAACAATCCATGTGCCTGCACAGACATCAGCAGAATCCAACTCTTGATGAGGTCTTGAAGACTGACAGTCCAAAGCACAAGCGAGCAAAACAAAGTATTTGTTTTATTTTCAGTCTGAAAATGGCTGAGCTACTTTTACTTAAGCTCTCAGAAAACATGTACCCAATACCCAGCACAGAAAACTCATTCACACTAACTTTAAAACTAGCTAAATTACAAAACCCTGCATTCAGTTGCTTATAATTGAAATTGACAAATATCTTTAGAGGTTCATTAGAGCAACTCTCCTTGTAATTCAGAATTCCATCAACTCACCTGAATTCTCCCAGGGCATCCATGACTCGGCTGATATAAACCTGCACTCTTTGGCTGGATTCTGCTATTTTTCTACATGAGATCATGGCCTTAATTAAGAGTTAAAGACAAAACAACTTCTTAAAGGACTCGCATTCTTCATCTTTTTAAGCTTCATTAACATGTCAAAATAATTAAGATCTAGCCCAAGTGTTATGCAACTGCTCAGGACAGCAGTAGCTGCCAACCTCCCTCCACATCATGATGAGGGACCAACTCCTAAAACTAAACATGGAGAGACAGGATAACATTTGAGAGAGTAAGGGGAAGACAACAAACTTTTGTTACCGCTCCTTTAGTGGCAGCGCAAAAAAGAGAATAACATCCTTTCCACAGTCTCTAGGGAGTCAGGACAAACTCATAGTGAAATCGGAGGACAAGAAAAAGAAAAGCCACACAGCATAAATCTCTATTTCCCTTCCGACTAGAAAAAAACTACAGCTTCTTTTCAGCACATGCTGAGTTCCAACATGGGGCTTAGGCTCAAGACTTTGTGTGGTAAGGAGGGAGGGAAGCTTCATATCACACACCTTCTCCCACTCTTCATCTATGATTCTAAAATACTTCATTCTGTTTGATACTTATATTTCCACATCAAACCAAACCGGTGTTCTGTACCTTTTCTATTGCATACTTCAGCTTGTTCATGTGGGATTCAAAGAGAGGAAAGTGAGAGAAAAAGAAATCCTGGAAGTTTCTCTGTGCTTCTTCTTTTTCAGGCAGAGAGAAGATAATGCTGATTGCAATTTTTTTCCTCCGGACCATTGCAGGATTGGAGCTACAGCTTTCATCAGCCATACTAAACATTTCTTCAGTGGACCTACAAGACAGATTGTTAGGACAGTTAGCTATGCACAGAACAGCGACTAGTCTTCTATTCATCTCTTTATATAGAAAAAGGAAACCTAAGAATAATTTTCCTTCTACTGCCTACGTAATACTTTTCTGTCACGTGCCATAAACAGAGGATACCCAGCATACTGATAGGTAAAACTTATGTTTGCTCCAACAGATCAAAAGTAAGGCAACCCTCAAAGAGGCTAGCAATTACTGGGGCAAACACTTTCCTCTGAAACAGAATACTACAGATACCCTCCTTATGGATTTATCTTTAAGGGAGATTAAGAAAAGGGAACAGAAAAACAACAGATAGTCATTAACAAGAAAAGGTTAAAGTAAATTTACAAAATAAAATGAACTAAAGACAAAGTGTCACCACTTATTAATCACTAAAAACAATGTCTACAAGTATAAGAGTTGGATACACTTCCATCTAAAGTGCTTTGTTTTCCACTAAAAAAATAAAATAGTGGCTATTTTGTAATCATTACTATTTTCCCAAGCTCTGTTTATTCACTGGAGAGTTCTGCCACATATCTTCTATTAGTGTTGCCAGCTTTCAGTATTACACATCAATTGATGTTGATCAAGACTGCTTCATATCTTCACCAACTTGGCCTGCGGATCAGAACACACCTGTAGCAACACTGCCTGGACCATGTAGGGTATCCTTCTGAAAACTCAGAAGGACCTGAATTAGTAACAGGACAAGAGACACCTCCTGAAATCCAACAATAATGACCATGCAACTGTATGGCTTCAATGCTGACTGTTCAGATGTCATCCTACAGAAAAGGCCTTGGCCATCCAACAACATGACCAAGATGAACATGAGTCAGTAGTGTGCACAGGCACTGGTGAAGACTAAGTACCTGCTGAGGTGACTAGGCAAAAGTCTTCCTAGTCAACACCTCATTAGATAAGTGATCATTCCCCTCTACTAGGAGCTTATCAGGCCACTTCAAGAGAAGTGTGTCCAGTTCCGGAGCAAGGCCAGCAAACTACCAAAAAGGTAAGGAACCCAGATCACATGACAAAAGGAAAGTCTGAAAGTGCTAGGTGTGTTCAGCCTCAAGGGACACCTGATTGCTCTTTTAATAACCAGTGGGTAGTTATCCAGAAAATAGAAGCGGAGCCTTCAAGATGAACAGGTTTACACAACCTTTGGCTGTAAACAAGATGCAGCAGGGGAGTTTCTGGTTTTACGTGAAAGAACTTCACAGAAAAAATAAAGCATAAATTGGTTGCCCAGAGAGGTTCTTGAGACCCTTCCTTGGAGATTTTCAAAACTGAACTAAATGTGCTCCAGACCAACCTGATCTAAATTCCATTTTAGTCCTTTGAGTGGGCAACTGAATTAGATGCTACAGCTATCTGCCAGCACAAGGTTTTCTGTCATTATACAGAAGGGTGGCAACTCCCAGCCCCTCTCTATTCTTCCATAAATACTTGCACTGCAGTGACAGACATTGATGTTACTGAATTTGCAAAGACTATTTTTATTGCTTAAAGTTTCTGAATTAACTGAAAAATATCTTGAAGTAGTATATACACTATTCAATTAAAGTATTCCTTTCAAAAGAAAAATGGCTTTCAGTCCACACTGAGGAACTATAAGGAGCGAGTGGTAAGCACAGACAAGAAAAAGCTGTAGGAACACAAGAGGGACACATCCAGAGCAGCAGCTCAGAGGAACAGCTTGCTTCTGGACTTTTCTCATGAATTAAGTCTGCAATATCAGTGAGTGGTAATTAAATTCCTGAAAGCTTCTTGTATCAGAATTATCTTGAAATGAAACCTGTGGCATTTGTAAGCCCCTATGAAGCAATTACCAAGAGCAAAGTCCAAATCCTAAACTTTCATTCTAAGTTCAGTCTAAAAATAAGTGCTTTACAGTTTAATTGGTTTAACAAAACTATGCACACAAGTTTCTCATCATAGAGGTACAAGTCCAGGAATACAGGAAAAAATAAACAACAAAACCCCAGCAAAAACAGTTTGTGGGAAAACAGAGTTCAAGACAAAAACACAACCTCATTTGAACTTCAGGAACTTGCATGCAGAGACAAATTCCCAAGGAAGTTTGGGAAGGATGGGTCAGTCAGCATCCAGAAACATGACAAGTTTTTGTACTGCTTCTCAGGAACAGAATTTGAAAAACAGTGGTCTGCAAGAAAAGCCTTTTCAAAGCTGCTAATCTAGCTTGGCTGCCAACTGACTACATGAAGTTCCAGCTACACATCTCATTTTCTCTGAGCTACTGGCCTAAGACATTAGTCATGAAAACGGTGGAGTCTTGGCTGTACAAACAGAGTGCAAACTCTGCTGTCATTGAAGTATTCAACCGGAAACCTACTGCTTCTCCAGCAAGCATCAGAAAACAAGCATCTGAAGGGGCCATTTGGCTCAGAAAGAACCCCAAACCAAATGGAGTTCTAAACAGCAGAACTAATAATGCCCTGTTTCCAAGATCTTTCCTCAGCATGGATTCTCCCATGAGGAAAAGAGACAAGCTATTCCCTCCAGTGAATTAGAAGCCCAGTACAGCTACTTTCCTTTAAACAATTTGTTACGTTCATAACACTTCAAAGAACTTTCTAACTGTCAAAATGCAGCTGCTACTTTAATTTGCCTGAAATTACCTTATTTCCTTCTCAGTGTTTTAACATTTTCACACACTGTCTTATTTCTTTAGGAAACTAGACTATTTCTACTTACTGAAAGCAAAATGTTTACTAACTCATTTTCAACTGTCAGAATGATTTAGAAATCATGACCACTACATAAGTGTAACTGCATGATTCATGTTAATGATTCTGCAAAAATACCCAGGGAAAGTGTTCAATTGTTGACACTAGGGAAAGATCTGAGCCAGAATTATAACATTTGAAATTGGGCTTATCAAAAATAGTGCGGTGGTTTTTTTTGTTTGTTTTGTTTTTTAAGTAGACCACATATTTCAACTGGCAGTTTCTAAGGTTCTCCTAACTGAAGACAGTGAAGAGTAACACAGGCCACACAGTACAAGTTTCTTGTAGTCCTCCACTAATTCCATACGGTTTCTTGGTGCAGGTGGATGAGTACATATGAGCAGACAATCAAGACCCATTCACTATTTTGCAGCTGACAACAGAAAAATTTGCTTGTTAGCTACAAAAGGTCTGCTGCATTCCATGCTTTGTTATGCTATTGAGCTACAAAAGCTAATAAAATTCCAAAACAGAAGCCAAGCTTTTTGATCACAGCTCTTTTTTCTTCCTGTTTTGGCAGAAGTCACATCAGGAACACCCAGTGCTAGCCAAGAGAGTTGTCATGGGCTATTACTCTACAATTTCAGTAATTGCTCACTAGTCAAGACTTCATTGTGGTATAATGTTATTATGGCAGTGGTGCTGTTACCGTCTTTCATCTCAACAGGCTCTGCTCCTTCAGAAATAGAGAAGAATTTAATTTGCTTTTCAGGATGGGGTCTTTAGACAGACTCTACATTCAGTAAGTATGTCAAATCAGGCCTTGTAGACTCAGCCAAAACTTGATCTTCCCTCGCACTGGCAATCTTACCTAACATGCACAGAAATCAGAATGAACTGACAGTATTTATGACAGAATTCATGCTTTTAAATAAAAGAGGCTTAAACTCTGCTTAAATTATTGCCAAACAGCTGTTATAACCAGAAAGGTGTTGCACTCACCACCTTGGAATTATTCCGTTCTCTAAACTAGTTGTCTGACTTCGGAGCCAGCGACGTTGATAGCTGCTAGAAGATGATGATGAAGAGCTTGGAGATGGAAAAGGAGTGACCAGAAGACTGCTGAGAGATGCTATCAAAAAAGGAAAAAAATACATACTGAGTGCCAGTCAAATGCTTTTCTTCACACTCTGACAGGGAACAAATGCACATAAACATTGTTCTTGCTTACTGCTCTTTGTAAAAGAATTAGAGCAGTTTTCATATAACTTGCTTGCAACTGGAGGCACAATTATTTTAAAAAGTTCTTCTTGCCATAGAATATTATTTTCTTATAAAGACAGGGATCTCTCCTAGAACATATTAAAAGTAATCTTATTCCTGTTAAAAGCATTCTGCCATAAGATGTTTGCTCTCATTACACTAGATAAACCTCTTGGTCTCTTGACCTTTTTTCTATTCAGTGCAATCACCTCTTCTCTTCCCTTGCTATAGTTAGAGGACCAACCAGTTCTTCCTCCATCTTATAGATTGGTAAAAAACAAAACAATAGCTGTAAACAAAGAGCATCACTATAAATATTCTTGCATAAAGTCTTCGGCAATAGCAGAAAGAAAACTGCTTAGCAGATGTCAAAGAAATTTGGATTTTGGTCATAAAGGTGCCTAAATTCCACGTGATCCGCTGAGCCAAAGAACTGTAACAATTACAAAAGTAGGCAAACAAGAGAAACAGCAGATACCTGACCGAGCAATGCCACTGTCTCTGTCCTCATTTTGTCCTCTGCTGGGCATATCAACAGGTGTACTGTGTGCTAAAACAAACAGAACAGATCAATAGAAAATATTACTTAACTCATTATACTATTTGTCAGCATTTTAAAGAAATGCTTGAGATTAAAGGTCATAAAACACCAAAGTTACATCCTGTACCATTACTCCAAATAAGCAGTGTTGCATGAGCAGAGGTAGTAGCAAACACTAGGTCTATGCTGAATATAATGTTACTAGAGGAAGTTAGTTACTTGGCCCAATCTAAGGTGTCTCTAAGAACCTTAAGAATGTTAATACAGTCTACATTACAAAATGCATCTAATTTTTGATTACAAGAACTGGTGGTACTGTCACTCAACTTGTTTGCAAGATTTTTAACTTATACAAGTCAAATATTACAACAGAATAGTCAAACATGTCCTTCAAGCTTCTGATTTACTCCCCAAGCAGAAATTATTATCTACACAGCTTCATGGTAAGAAACATTCAGCTTATGATGTACTACACTGAAGTGTTAGTAGTGCAGTCACTGAAATTGTAGAGCATGCAAAATTTGCAAAGGCTGTGAAGAAACTGCATTGGTATTCAAGTTCTTTTTTTTAATTAATGAACTAACTAAGCCTAATATCTACCCACCTGCATGGGTCATCAGTATGCCTGTAAAAGGAGACTATGTAAAGCAGCGCTGAGTTTTTAAAAATTAAAGGAATTGATATTGTTGAAGAAAATTAAAGCCCCTCAGACTTAGCTCAAGAAGTAGTTTTGAAAGGTTTATTTTTAGAAAATTAGTACGATATAGAAGAAAAAGCTGTATTATCAGCAGTACACCTCCACACTAGCAAGAAATCAGCAAGGCAAGAAACATAACTTCCCTAAGAAATATAAGGGCTCATTTATTATTAAACACACTGCATAAAAATGTCTTTAAAATTAAGCACTGGAATTAGAAAATAAACAAAAAGCAATTAATTCAGCCAGTTGTTTGGAAGAAAGATTTTAAGTATAAAGCCACATTTGTCTGTTGTCACTCTCTCAGCCCTTTCTATTTCTAGAGAGTAATTATGTTTCTCTCATAAGAATTCAGAGGAGCTGGATTTGTGTGCATATGGATGGGTCACACTGTGGTTGGCATTCCACACAAACCTGCAAAGAAAGAAGCACTGCGGATGAGCCGGAGGGGACCTCCTTCAGACACACCCTGCAGCAGTTTGCTGCTACACAGCTGTAACACACCTAGGAAACAAAAGCAATCTAGAGAAAATGCAACGCAAAAAAAAGGAAAAGGTGATGCACAGGAAAAAAAAAAAACAACAAACTAAAGGAACAGATGGTGTCAACACTGTCAGAAAGACATAGAACCTGCAAATATTTACCTAAATTACTTCCACTGCGACAGGTTCCCAAACCATTCTGATTAGAGTTCAGCTTTCCCAAGCTGGAATCTTGGTTGATATATTCAAAGCTATCTTGTAAGCTAAGAAAAGAGAAAAAGGCAGTGTTTCTAACGATCAATAATCATTAGTATTAGCTTGAAGATTAGACTCATGTTATGAAAAAGTGAAAACTGAAGATTAACTTTAGAATTACATTCAAAGGATCAGTAGGTTTTCTGAAACTAAAAGGAAAAGAGTCCTTTTCTATATAAACTCCCTCTTTGAGTTGTTGTAAGCTTCTGTGTATCACACACGGGATTCAGTTTTTTCAAACTTGCCCATTTTTGAGATAAAGGAAAAGAGAAAGATGAGAAACAGTAGCTTTTGCTATTGCTGAAGGAAACAAGTGCTTCTTGCAACATATTGCTTCACTCTTAAAAGCAAAGGATAGATGTTTTGAATGTCCAAAGTACCTAACCTCTGAAGTTTATGGCATGCCTTTGACAAATTAAGAAGCAGAAACTCAAGTGATCAACTGATTTTTCTTCTTCTATGTCCTGGCTGAGACTTTTCAAGTTCACACTTAACCACAAGCCCTCATTTAAGCCTTCATTTCCAATTTTCGTCTAGACCTTTCCACTTCAGCTAAGTCAAATTTTAAAGCAGTGACAGAAGGCCTACAAAAGGAAAAAAAATGAAAGACAACTGTATTGGAGAACGAGGGTGGGAGGGTATGGAGGGGAAGAAGAGAGACGTTCTTACTTATTGTTGCTTCCACTGAAGCTTCCTACCCTGGCTGAGAAGACTTTACTTATCATCAGTTGAGGGGGAGAGCTGAAAGGATAAACAATCATTTCAGTGAGTCATCAGTTCCAAGCGCCTGACAAGGGAGCACATCACAGAAAAGGACACTCACCGTATGTAGTGGATTTTCAAGGTGGAACCTTTGTAACTCATTGCCACCGAGCCAAACATCATTTCTCCCAGCATGTTGACATCAGAGGCTGGTCTAGTGTACTACACAGACAAGAAGAAAGGAAAAGCAAAGTCAGTAATGACTTGACATACTATTCTCAATTGAAATATGAAATAGTGACATAGTGCCACATTTTGAATGGAGAATACATTCTGCTTTTTCATGCAAAAATATGATCCTGTGTGGTTCTGACACACTAAATGCAAGTACAAGCAAGGACAGCTAGAAGATGTAGTTGGTTTTGCTCACTAGAGGAAACACTGCTACAAGCATTAAACTATCTTCACAAGTCAAATTTTTAAGTTCTCCTTTTCTGCCCCTACAGAAGACTTCTCAGAAGCATCTTTTATTGGAAAATAATTTGTGAAGACTGCATTTCTAGGAGCGATCAAGCCAATTTCTTCTTATGTTTCAAAAGACTAACCATGAACAACAAATATTGAGGTTATCAATTCTGAAGGAACTGATTTACCTTCTACTTGTATACAATTTTTCTTCTACCTTGTTCTATAGATGCTTCAAATTGTATTTTTTCCAGATAAAATAGTCATGCTTTCACAGACAGCCAGAGTATCACAAAATTGTTCTTAGAAGTTCTGAGTATCATAAAATTGTTCTTAGAAGTTTCATGTTACAATGAGACATTAAGTCCCCCTCATCTACCATGTCCAATAGCTTCTTCAGAACTGAACTGATATGACTGACAGTCATGTTTATAACTAGAAGAGGGAACTGTTTAGTGCTTTTGACTTTCAGAGTTGTTAATGCTATTATTTTCTAATGCTTTCAAAGAGGTCAACATAGAATAAAAGCTTAAGATGTGCCCACGTACACTTACTCTACACCACCTTAAATATAATCAGAATCTTGAGTTATCTACCGTAACTTGAAAATACTAAAATTGTAACTAGGGATTCAGCACATGTAAGTTAAGGCTTCTTCAGTAAGACAGATACATAGAAGTAATAAATAACAGTACCTGGTACTTCGGTATTTGCTCTCTGATATTTTGCAAACAGCTTATCGAGGGGCTATGGGAAGAAATATTGTTCCCGTTGCCTGCTTGGCAGTTCTTGACAGAAGCCTTTACAGCAGCATCCTCTGCCATTTTCTGTATCAAAACAAAGCAGTAAGAGCAATATAAGAAATAAAATAATAATTACGAAAATAAGATTCTCATCCATAAAAACAGCATGATAAGATTTTTCTTAAAATATAGTTCAGCGACAGAATCAAACACTTATTTGGTTCAAAACACATGTATTGATCCTATAAGAAAAAAGGCTAGTATGACAAAATAAATACAGAATTACTCACATTTAGATCCTCAGACAAGTTTCAACAATATCACAGAGTAATTAGTCAGATAAAGTTCTACTGGAAGATGATCCCCAATTGTTACAAACACATGGTGAGTAACATTTGCCAAAGTTTATATAAACAAATCTTGCCTATAGGCTGCTTACAAATCAATTTCTGTAACCATTTGCACAATTAGTCAAGCCACATATTACTTTTGCTTCCTAACTGATTATCAGATCCTTAACCAGAAGAACAGCCAACAAAATCAAGGAATAAGTAATGCATCATTTGGTAGAGCTAGCGGGTTATAAAATCCATTAGTTAAACCTGAATAGGAGTTGCAAAAGACAAGCTAATTAATTTAAGTCATCTGGATCTAAGGAAAGTTTACTCTCGAGTCACTATGTTTAGTAACATTGTAGAACTGACCAGAGACAGAAAAGAAGCCTTGGAAAATATTACATTAATACTATTTATACATCTTTCATTAGAAATGCTGCATTTAACTCATTTAACAAAACTAACCTTCAGTGAAGACTGCTTACATAGCCTTAAGACCATCACACGCTATTTAACCTTACACATTTAAGAAATTTAAAATCCCTTACTGAACATGTACTTAATGTGTATTAATGGAAGCCTCCGTTTCTTCAGTGCACATCAGAACGAAATACATTTTAACAGATCTTTTTGTACGAGCTTGTAACTCACTGGAAACATGCACTAGCAGAGTTCAAGTTAAATAGATTTTAGCGTGACCAAGGTAACCACAGATAACACTTTACAGAAAAGAAAGCAGCAGACAAAAAGAATTTATAATAACCAAGAGGCTAGTGCAACACAGCCAAATTTATGTCCTGTATTTTGGGAAAGGAACTGTAACAGGAAATTAAAATAGAATCCAATATTCCACAAAACTGATTTTTTTCAGATAAAAACTGAGTACTACACTGCAATAACTGCAGTAAGCTTTAGAATACTCAAATCATGATAAGGAGATGAAATAAGCAAAAGGAGAGATGCAGAAACAGGAAGAGGGAAGAGTGAACCAAAAAAAGTGGAACAGACAATCTGTACTTTTTGTAAGTTTACAGTACAGTAATGGTAGAACATCCCTGTTGATTTAAAATAAACCTCCTGGCATAGAAGTCTTGTTCTTCTATATTTTATCCCATACCTGCACTCCTTTTGTATTTTGTATTGTGTTTTTTCTTGGCCTACTATTTATTTGTAACTAGTTATGTCACTGTCATTAGGTGTTTATAATGACCAAGGGTTAGTAGCCACGTGCTTAACAAGCTATTGACAAAAATGCCAAATAAAAAGCAGACACACACCACCTGCAGAAAGAATGGGAGATTAGATCAAAAATACTGAAAAAAATGAGTACATTAAACAAGCCTGCTAGTTCCCCCAGGTAAGTTTAATGCACGCTTCAAAGACAACGTATTTTGAATATCTGATGTAAATAAAGCATTTATTACATTCTAGAAGAGTGCATAAATGTACAGTATACACACAAACACCCTTGACTTCAGTTTACATAGGACAGCTTAAGAGTAATCCTGCCTTAAATTTGAGTAAATTCTAGACTTACTGGTAGCATATCATTCACTTAATGTCAATGTCCTCTCTGCTCATCATTCAAAGTGCTCTGGCATTTCTTTTTTACAAGGGTACCTAGACTAGTGTCTGCTGGGAAAACAGGTAATATCCTTTATCACATGCTATGAGGGAAATTTTAATCTGTGTTATGCCAGTGCTGCACCATTTTTGATAGGTCATTTTGCAGTTCACCTTTTAAAGTATTAAAGCAAATGGGGTATTTTGAACATTTAAATGGAGCCAGAAATGTTTCTTCCACACATTTTGTCCTCACGTGCTGTGTGTTTTTAACCAACTTTAAGACACAAAATAAGAATGTTGATACTAGGTTTTATGGGGTGGTGGGTGAAGGGATTAACAGATCAGTCTGACCCACTTACCCTCATAAGCTCATAATCAGTCATTAGCTGATGATGCTCATCAGTCTGAGTGATGTGGAACAATTATATATTTGTTGCATGACTGAAATAGTTAGAAAGTGCTGTGTTTTGTTTGTTTTTAAAAGCACCTGCATAAGTAATTTTAACAGTCACAACTATTTGAGTATAGCTAGGGATTCTACAATCACAGTGGTTTGCCAGGATAAAACTGCAGGTTGTAACAAAGACTTCAGAACAAACAAACTTTATATAATTCAATGCAGAAAAGAAACAGAGCTAGTACGGCAGAAAAAAAATATTGTTTTGCTTGTCTTAAATCACCCAAGTTCGCCAGAACATTATTCCACAATTTGTGTGCATAGAAAACAGAACAATTCGCATCTTCCCAATAGCTACTCTTGCCTGTATTTGTACCATCAGAAGTTATGTGTCCACACTGCCATGTGTTAGTCTTACACATGATGAGGTGGTTAGACAAAATAGAGTTGTTTTCATTTACAGAAAGCCAACAACTTCACTAATGCAAACACTAAAGGAGGACCAGCACACTTAGACAAGCTAGACACCACCAGAACAATGGGACTGCCCAAACAGCTAACAACAAAAAAAAAAAAATCACATCCAACATTAAAAGGCTAAGGCAGTGCTCAGTTTAAAGGGGTACAAATTACTTTGCTTGGAAGTAAGTCAGGCTTAAGTTGGTTAAGTTCCAATAACACATTTGTATTAAAAAATACCAAGTAACAGATTCTAACAGATATCTAACACTCTTGGTGCCGCTATCACAGAACTCAGAACAAGTGAAAGATCACAAATAAGATCATGAATTTGACATTGTCATTTTAAAAATTCCATTCCTGCTTTTGGGAAGGCAAACAGAAGAGCAATAGGACAAATGCACAGTTCACATTTCATACCTGAATAACAGCTTCATCAATTTTGCGGACAGCTGTGGAGTCAAATAAGACCTGTCTGCCTCTTCTCTCACAGTCCTGGTAAACTATCAGTCGGATTTCATTCAAGTCAAACTCCGAAGAGGACCAGCTGTAGAGTACAAACAAGTTATTAAAAATAGTGTACGCACTTTGCAGGCTTATTTAAGCAAAGCAAAAGGTATTCAGCAAATACATCTTTTATTCAGCATTTACAAAAATTGGGCTGTAATCAGAACTCTGTGCAGAACTCAAAAGGACAGACACACAGGCAGGCACAGCCAGACCAAGTTTCATCCACCCTTTTTTCAAAGTTTTCCAGAAGAGAAACAAAAAAGTGTCTCAGCAACCTGGTGCTTTACTCTAACATGTACTCCCTTCTCTATACAGAGTCTCGATCACCTTTACTGAAAGTTAGGCATAGCATTTCATGCCCTTCTCTTAGTGCTAATAAAGAACAATGGATTTCCATCCTCTGCAACAGTCTTTCATAATCTGGGAGGATTACACAGACCCTCATCCTTCTCTTCTCTAAACAAAACAGTGAATTGTTTAGAATCTTTTTACTGTCCATATGAGCTATGATTTTTCCAATATTTAACCATTTTAACCAAAAGACCTAGCATTATTTTTCCTCTTTTTGGGGATGTTCAAGGTTTTAAGAGCTATCATAGATTACTGAGACTCGATCTCCAACAATGATGTAACTCGTTTAGTAGATGAAACCAAGACACATAGATCAGAAATGAGGAGACATTTCTTCTCAGAAAGAGCAGTCAGGCATTGGGATGGGTTGCCCAGGAAGGTGGTGGAGTCACCGTCCCTGGGGGTGTTCAAGGAAAGGTTGGACGTGGCACTTAGGGACATGGTCTAGTGGGTGATAGTGGTGGCAGGGGCATGATTAGACCGGACGATCTGGGAGGTCTTTTCCAACCCTGAAGATTCTGTGATTCTATTGTTGAGACTGTAGCTGAAGTAAAATGAGTCTCTGAACCTAGAACCTGCCAGCTCCCCAGACACACACCATGACACACCACTTGTCTCCTCAAGCTACCACATGGAGCTGAAGAGCATGACTGATCACAGCTGCAGCAGCAAGAGATTCTTTCCTAATTCTCAAGGGAGCTGGCATACATGTTGGAGCATGGAGGCTTGCTGAGCCTCGGATTCAGCTACATAAGATGTTTTTCATACTCCGTAGCTGACAAGCTGGAATTAATAGCAGAAACTAATAATGTGTAAAGCACTGCCCCACAGCTCTGGTGGCAGCCTGGTGCTCAGTCATATTGCCTCATCCCTGACCTGGATAGACCATATCCAGGGGTAAGAGTACAACTTATTAATAGCTGTTAGTTTAACAAATTGCATAACAGACTTCAGTCAAGGCTACGCTGATCTCCCACCCAAAAGGATGTTTCACATAGGAATTTTCCTAAACTATGCCTTGCAGAGAGGGAAGGTGGAGAGTTGAGGGGGGAGCACAAAAACACTGTACAGCTGGAAGATGAGAATTTCTGAAGCTATTTCTTTTATTCCATGCTCCAACAGCCATAAATAAATGACGAGGTAAATGTCATCAGCTCCTGCTAGTCAGTAAGGTAACCATGGGCAACACTCAGACTTGCAAAGTCAGTACAAGTCAAGCTGGCATAATTTCTTCTTTGTACTTCATCTTGAATTTCAGAGATCAATCCCCCTTTCTACATAGCTAGGAAGAAATACAAGGCTAATTAAGCATCTTTCTCCAAGGCTTAAGTACCTGTCTGCAAGATTTTACTCTAATTTTAAATACCTTTGGAAAGAGTAAGCCTGATCCTTATCTCCACTTGAAGTGCTCTAATGCAAGTACACTCTATGGATGTAACATGTAAGGGCCCAGCACCCAGAGCTGGATCAGGGAATACTGCTGAAGGCTGTTTTGCCATCAACAGTGAGGAAACTCATTGATGCATTTGTAGCACGCTGCCCCTAGAACACCAGGAGTGCCAGACACTTCTTTTCAAGTTTTCCCTTTCAAAGAGAATCACAGCATTAACATAACCTGTATGAGACCAGACCCGATACCACTGCTGATACTGCCCAGAGATCCTACACGCCTTGCACCCACAAAGAGCTGTGAGAACACGGTCTGTTTTACAAGGCTGGCAGTAGTTTCTCAACCCACTGCCTATGCAACACCATTACAAAATCCAGTTATACAGAATGCAAGAAAGCCAGAGCCAGCAATAGGCTTCATGCTGGTCTACCTCATGAGCTGGATATTCTTTTCTGTACCATATACTCTACCTCTTCAGATACACAGGTGATTATTTACTTGCACACTTTTTGCAGCAGGCAGCACCACAGCCATACCTGAAGTAACCATGCTGCTTTATTAAAATGGCCCGCAGATCGCCCTTCCAAAGAAAGGCGACATCATTACATCCTTAAAGAGTTAAGCTTTTTTTTTTTAAAAAAAAGCAAAAAAAAAAAAAAACAAAACAAAACAAAAAAAACACACACCACACAAACCTCCAGGACTGGCTCAATAGGGTCAGCAGTTCAGACCACAGGACTGAAAGTCTGAACTGAAAAAGATTCATTCATTTCAGGCACAGAGTTTGCCAGCACAGCCCTGTACCCAACCCACCACTGCTGAAAGCACACTTGATACTTGTCTTGCCTGCATTTGGGTTTCATTATGAACCAGTGAGCCCCCATGCTCTGCACTAAAACAAAATTCATATTGGTGCTGTGCCCACTTCTGAGTAAGAAGTGAGCAGGGTTCTTCCGTAACAGATCCCAAACCAGAGCCAGTTCACCAGCCTGCTCAAGTGCCTTTTCCAAGGAGCACAGCCCATGAAGCACTTATTTCTGTAAGGATTTCTACAATCTTTCATAACTTTAAACACATCTTAGTACCAGACAGCAACCAGCATAAAATATATCAGAGATTTATGATACAGAGCAATCTAGGGAAATAATTTCAGATAATGCTTCTTGCAGCACTAACCAAATATCAGACAGCATCTCACTGAAGTCTTTGCTTTCAGGCTTTGCATTGCACAAACCACAGATGCAGTCCTTGCAGCAGTCTTACACATTACAGAAACCCTCCATCCTACTAAAATGTCATTTGATAAGATCAGGCATACCCACAGGCAAGCTATACACGCATACAACTGCATGGGCTCATTACCTCAATGTTGAAGCTAGCAGCAGGCACAAGACTAGTCAGATGACCGGGATTATTCCCTCCCCTACACAAAAGTTGATGAGCAGACTGATTACAGTCCTTCCAGCCTTTATAGCTTAAGCCAGCTTGTATAACATACAGCCCCTGAAACAGGGACAGCAGTTTCAACTGCTTCCTAGAAACAGCGTTGAAGAACACAGATGGCACACAGACTCATTGGTCAGCTCTGATTTCACGCACATAAAAGCCAAAACCCCAAAACCATTACTTATCTTTAAATTAGCTTCTTGCTTATTTAGCAATGCTGAAAGACATGCTTCTGTTTCTTCACACAATCTCATATAAAGAGAGGTAAGATTCTTTTTATGCAAAATATCTGTTCATGGAAAACAAACAAAGCACACCTCTGCACCGCAGAGCTAAACATCGAAAGGAATGTTAAGCTAAGAAAACCCTTTCACTTTCGCATCAATTGTCTAAAAAGACACAAATATCCAAAATAGGCAGAGATATTTCAGCCTACTTTTCCTAAGGTAAGAAGGCTCCTACGCTCATGGGCAATTTGTATACATATGTGTTCACCTTGACCAATTACTTAATAATTCATTAATCAACTTCAACCACCAAGCCTGACCAAAGGACGTATTTCTAAGCATTTCAGAAAAAAATAGGGAAGGAAAAAACAGACTCTTTCCCCTTCCCCTCCAAAGCTACAATATAAGCTAACATTAACTTCAAGGCCACAAAAATTCTTGTGATGCATTCGTGAAGGACAGGTAGAAGGCACGGAAAGATTCTGGAAGTGTTACATGGAAAGCTGACACCAACGCTTGCACATGATGTTTTCCATTTTTCATTGGCAAATGCAATCTATAACAATAGCTGCATTAGTTCTTCTGATTTTTGAAGAGAAAGCCTTCAACACGTTTACACGAAGCCCCTTGCTCCCTGGCTGCAGCACGCTACGTGTCCATTCTGTCCAGTTATTAGTATTTAATTCTAATCCCATGAGAAGGGGCTTTTCAGCTCTTCACCATTACTTCTGACACTCCAACTTCATGTCTTAAAACTTAGATTTGGTAAAACCTCAACTTGCACACTTCTTTCTATCTCTAAAACAGCTCACCTAGCCATGTGTTAAATACCAAAGGAAATTATGTGAAACTTCTGTAATAGGAGTAGCGTTACATATACACCTACAAAGGAAAGTGTCGCTTACCATGAAGCACATTAATGCCCAGTGTACCCTTCACACGTTATATGAACCCTTAGCAAGAATAAAGTGTGATACAACCACTACCTTTGGATAACTGCTGCTTCTTTCACTTACTTTAAAAAAAAGACAAAACTTTGAGAGGTTTTTACTGAACACCAACTGAAACATCACCCTCCATAGCCCTGTTTACATGCAAGTAGAATAAGAAAAAAATTGTAAGAAGTTATCCATTTTCAACATTTTCAATCCCTGCTAGAAAACTACTTCGTAAAACAAAGCTAAACACTTATGCACCAAGACAATTTGTGTTCTGTGCTGAAAGAACTGCTTACTGCTAAGCGACTCAAAGCACACATTACAGATGCAATGACCAAAATAGTGAGTTTTTTTTGAAGCTGAGTGCCAAGGTACCGCAAAATGTTAGAATGGAGTTCTGCCAGCAGTATGCTCTAGGAAGGTAAGAAAGTGAGGAGACTGATGCCTAAGTGGGTCACTTTGGCTTACAAAGTGTGTATCATGCTAGGTCCTATATATTCTTAACTTGCTGAAATCAGTAGATGAACGTGAGCTTGTGCGTGTGTTCCTATTTCAGATTGAACTTGGCTATTTTGACTGAACAGTTTTATTTCTCTATCACAGCAATAAAAGCCTCCCACACCCTTCCTCTCCTTTTTCTAACTGCACAACCTTTCCAATTATTCACGTCAGCTCTGGTACTTGCTGGACCATTCCACAAACAGGTCAAGTTCTCCATAACAGCAGACATTTGCCACAGCAAAAGAAAGTGGCTCAGAAAAGTAGCTGGAAAAAGTAGAAGGCAGCAGGACCTCCACCTCTTGGTGGCAGCATGAGTTACGCTAACTCACTTCACCCACAGAGCTATACACCTTTAGGAAAGGGCACAAAGAAAATGTTCCCCATCCATTTCAACTAAGTATTGAGGCTAGTTAGAAGGTTAATTGGGTTTTCTTATTCCCTGAGTCAGTTTTCTGTCTGTTTAGTGAGCTAAATCGACTCCCTAAGGGAAGCCAGTTCCAGAAGGTTTGGAACAACCAGAGCCAGCACAAGGGGAAAAGGACAAGAGCATGTTGCCAGAAAGCAAAGGAAAAGGCAACGTGACCACCCCTTCAGCATCAGCAGTCTGTTTGAACAGTTCAGCTTGTCTAAGCTCACCTTCAGAGGGGATCCTTCCTGCATCTGGGAGATGCTAGAACTAATAAAAATCACCTTCAAGTCTCAACAACGGAATAAAAATCAAGCTACGTTCATACAACAAAGAACAGTTTTTCTGTACCTGGAACAGATCTATTAGATAGATAGAACAGTATTTATATATATTTTTTTTGTACGAAAGACACAAAAGTCATAAATAGTTTACAGATACCCTACTAAGGTTTCTCCTCAGATTCCAGAGGAAGTTTAAATTTGCTTTACTTCTCCTCAGCTGGCATATTAAGTCACTGACCTTGGGCTTGTTCAGCATTTATTCCATTACAGATACAAGACACTGAGGGAAGGAGACCTCTCTCACTTAGGGGAAAAGCAGAATTGTTTTTTTCTGTAAAGGAGCCAAAAATGCTTGCCCCATTCTGCCTTTAATCAGTATTTTCAGTTAATACAGATCTCTAACCCTCACATTTACTAAGAAAGCTCCTGGTTCACCTTTATAACAACCAGCATGCATGCAATAACTGAAACGTGACCTATTTATTTATATTTGAAGACTACTTGAGCTGACCTTAGAACATTTTAGAAAGTGACTAATCACTGCTTCAGCACAACAACCACAGGCTAGAGAAATGAAGAGCCTGAAATCTATGCATCATTTAGCTGTGTTTTAAATAGGCAATACCGAGCACAGAATATTTATTCTAATATCCTTTATGGTAATTTGGAAAAGGCTACCCTGAACCATGTTTTCACAGTTACACAGCAGCAGGCTCACTCACTGGAAACAGTCACACACCTGAAAAAGGCACAACAAAAGCAGCTGAAGAAACACTACTCACACTCCAGATTACTTTGATGTAATGCTTAACCTAGAGATCATTTAGAAGGGAAGCAGAGTTGCCCCCTCCACTCCTTCCTCACTTCACAGCATCCCCTCCTGCCTGCTCTGCAAATTGGTGCTACCTGACCCAGTAACACAGAAGGTGGCAAAAAATTGAATAGAGGAAAACTAATTAGAAAAAGAAGGTGAAGTTATTTAACCTTAACTGAAAAGAAAGTCAATTATCCTTCAGACCTCAGTTAGCATACACACAGATCTTACACATCACAGTCAAGAATGTAGATTCGATTTCAAACAACAGGGAAGACTTTCTACAGTATCAGTCACCATCAGCAGCAAGAATGACCTCCTTACAGAGCTTTCCAAACAGCTTAGTTTTCAGGCACGTGGTTACAAATCTAACATCAAGCCAAAACATTCATCCTCCATCAAAAACTGTATGTATCCAAAAAAGTTACTTGCATACCTGTTTTGCAGCAGTCTAGTCACTCTGCTCACACAGCTGACACTTTGGTCTCTCAGAGATTTTCTAATCCTTTCATCCAATTTGGCACAAGGGAGATTACTTCCAAGTGGCACATCGCTGTTGTTTCTTGCTCTTTCTATTTGTCCCCCTGTGCCATTTGTAGCTTTTGGTGTGCCCCCACACATCTTCTTGTGCTACGGATCCTCTTGGGAAAAAAAAAGCCAAGTACCAGCTGAAGTGACACAGCCTCAGGCAGATCTCCTTACTATACAGATCAACCATTAGCGATGGCAATTACTATCAGATTTCTTCCCTACACAAGAACAGTCTGCTGGATTTCTTGTTGGGGGAAGAAGAGGCAGAGATCTTCATGTATTCAACATGCCATTAAACCGAATGGCAGCTGTAGCCTAAATGCTGCTGCAGTTATCCAAGGCAGAGGAGCAGACATGACTTTCAAGTTTCAGAAGCCATCATAGACTTGCTCTGGCTGCTGTCAGAGTTTTTCTACCAAGCCTGGCGCAAAGCTGTAGCAGATACAACAGCTAATATTGACTTAAACTGTGTTTGTTTCCTGGTATGTGATTAGGTAGCTGGCAATTATGTAGTCACAAGACCCAACCATATGGCCTCTTAAAAAAAAAAAAGCATAGTTGCTTTTGCAGTGACTCGCCCTTCGTTGCAAGGTTGTTCTAACACTGGCTACAACACCCTGTTAATGGCTCTCATGTGAGCAAGTGTCATCTGACAACTCCTAGCAACCTCATATAGCTTGGGAGCAAATACGAATCTGTCATCATCGCCATATGGTTATCAGGGGGAAAAAACCCCATATCGAGAAACACCAGCTATTCTGCTCTGTAATGGTTTTACTTTTAAGGATAAATGGTATTTACAGTTGGCTGAGAATTTGAAAATATTATTTTGAAAAGCTTTTAAAAAGAAGCAAAAAACAACAAGAAGTTTGTCGCAGACATTACACTGGTTTATGAGAGTTTACAGTCATGTGCCTATTAAAACAATTTAATGGCAGTACTGGTGGCAAGTAGCTAATAAAATACTTCTGACCAAGATAATCTAAGTTTTTAAACAGACCAAAGGAACCTCACGTTTTTTTCAGGCTCAGGTAAGTATGCAGGAGAGCAAAGTCCTCTTTCCCACCCATGCTTAAAAACCCACACAACTTAACCCATACACACCTGCCAATATCTCACCTCTTACATAGATTTTTTTTTTTTCTAATCGGTAGTTTTAGACACTTCATAAGATGGCAGCCATAGAGCTATGTCCCTTCCAGATTAAAAAGAGAAAATAACTTCACTAAAGGCCACCCAGAAATGCAGCAGAGTCAGACAACAGAGAAAGATTTCAAAACCCAGTGCCACATGCTACCTGCTAAATAGCACAGCATCATCCTTAGGAAAATTTTGTCATCTCTGTAAACCACAACCTCTAAACCCTGAACAGAAGACAAGTGGACAGCTAGAGCATGGTAACACAACAACTTGCTCAGCCACAGAGGGAAGCAGTAAAAAAAACAAAACTGTTTAAATCCCCAGAGTGGTGACAAATGCTAGATCACAATTGCTCCTCTTCCCAAATGAGGGAAACAGGGAAGCTTTGGTCTGTTCCCAGGTTATTCAAACGATTTAGCAGAGGGCGACTCCTCACCTCACTGAGGACTGCTTTCAGCAGCAGTGTTCCCATTCACCTCTGAAGCATAAATGAACAAAGCAAACGACGGCCAGCACTTAAATTAGGACCAGCAGTTGACAGCATTCACTTATCCTATCCTTTCCCCACACAGAAAGGAAAGGAAGTTTTGAAACACTCAAATATGAGATTTGTGTCAGAAACTAGAACTAGGAACACCTGAAAGCCCACTGAATAGCTGGTGGGCTTCACAATGATACCTCATCCATACAATACTATAAATACTAAAATACTTGAGGAATTAGGACTGAAAATACACAAAAAAGTTTCTGAAAAGTTAAAACAAAAATGGAAAACCATGCATGGAAAACACCTTGAGTCCAAGGAGCAGATTACTGTAGAAAATGGAAGAAAGTGTCCTGCCCTCCAGAAATAATCCTCTGGGAAGCAGAGTTAAATCATTCTTTTTCTAGGCTATGTGACAGCACATCACCTGCTCTGTTTGTAGGTCATTTCCTGCCCTTCATCTCGGCTCTTCAGACAATTGCATAAACGACTCCAACTTGAGGTAACACTTCAGCAAGAGAACTTGGGGTGGGGGGAAAAGAAATATATACGATATATACTCATTGAGATTTAAAAATCTATACATTGTTTTCAGAACTAGCAGTATATTTGCAAAATCTCCAGTAAGGTTTTGTTTTCCAATTATCTTTTAGAAATAGTCTTTAGAACCATAGGAAAACAAAGTTTGAATCATACCTGCTGTTTCAGTGAGAATTTGTTTTAGTGAAACACACACTTAGCAAAACAGATACACAAAAACAACCCACAACCCAGACATTCAGGATGAGTGCCAAAACATATTTATAGGTAAAGTAGATTCTATTTTGGATTGCTTAACGATGAATTTCCCTCTTCTGGCCTGTTAAATAGATTCCACAGAAGAGGTGGATTCCCTTCCTCACTCTCCCCCAAAAGAGCCCATTATTGCTCCTCCTCTTTTTACAGCCTTGGATTTGGAGGAGTTGTGCTGATGCCACACCGCATTCTTTTTCCACAATCATTTGAAGTAGTCCTAATATGGTAAAGCACTACTTAACCTTAGATGAACCACCTTGTTCCAGCATGATACATAGTTAGTAGTTTCACACACGTTAGGCTGGATATATGGCAGATTAGTCACGCAACAAGTGAACGAACATGTCATTTGCAGTACTTCTCCCTCAGTTTGGGTTTTCCTGTCAAAAGAGTTGTGGTGGAGAAAAACACCTCTCAATATTAGATCACTGTACAAATGTTACCTTTTTAAAAATAATTGCCTATGTTACTGGATGAAAAGGAACACAACATTGGGGGTACTTGTTCACTGCAAGCACAGCACTTCCCAGACCACCTGCTTCATGAAGGACAACTTACTGAATTTCTGCAAGGTCACAATCATTCTTCATCATCTTTGTTGCCACAAAGCAGTATCGTCGCATACACACAAAAAAGTGACCATGAAATGCACACACACCTGATAGAGGCTAATGAGCAGTTCTACACCAAGTTAAGTCGCGATAAATTGCATGCCTCAGCTTTTCAGAGCCACCAAGAACTGCTTATTAGAGCAGTGCGTCGGAACCCAGCCAGCTTCCCTAAGTTCAGACTCACTGCTCAGTGGCTGTTAGTCAGAAGTTTGGGAGCTAGGTTATGTACAACGTCTCAGTGATAGTGTTTAAAAAGAAAAACAAACCCACAGACAAAAAAAAACAAAACAGAAAACAGTGTATTTGAGGTAGAACCACATACAGCACAGAACAGTGCTTCCAGCTGCTAGCCCCAAAATGGAGTTTCTTGCTAGCAGTGTGAAAGGGCTGAAGATCAGTAATCACACGTATTTGTGTTTTACCATTAAGTATCTTTTTCCTTGAGCTAGGACTTAACAGCTGGAGACAACTAAAACACACAAAAAAGGTTAGCTCCCTAAATCCATAACTGAGTCTCTCTATATAGAGATCCCCACTCAGTCCTAACCAGCTTTCCCTCCTCTTCCCTTCCTCCACCCTCTGCAGCCCCCAGTAGTTTCCAGCAGCCAGGAGACCTCAGTTCTGCAAAACTGAATCAAATATTTTGCAGTTGTTTTACAGCAGCCATCTCAATCGTTTCAAACAAGCCAGCCTTCTGTTCTTTATTTAACCTTCCTTAGGCTTTTTCTGTTTTCTCTTTTTAGAGAAACCTCCGTGCTGGAGCCAAAGGGGCTGAACCAAGCGGCAGCAGCCTGCCGGGAGCGGGGCTGGTTGCAGCATCCCCAGGGAGCGCAGGGGAGGGAGCAGGCCCATCTCAGCTCACCTCAGCCCAGCCCCTCCTGTTCTGTGCGCCAGGCCGGGGCTGAGGCATCATTCCCGTGTCACTTGTTCCAGCAGCGCCATGTGACTGGGCCGGCGTCCAGGAACACAGCTACTAAATACAGACACTGCCAAGGCACGTCGGAGAACTGCCTCTGCCAGAAAGCGAGATGAATAGAAGGCTCTTATCCTCCCAGCTCCAACCTATACCTTCGCCCCCTCCTCTGGAGCAGGAGGGAGGAGAACTACACACTGCACATGGGAGGAAGCTTTGAGCAGCAGCGCAGGGCACAATCTGGTATTTGTGACACTGCACCAGCTCCTGTTGCGCTTCGGGGCTGTGTGAAAGCACTGACTGAGCTCAGCCCTTAGTATCTCCTACGTAAATGAGCAGGCCAGCACAGACACCACCACCACACCTTACGGGCGGCATCCTGAGGCATGGGTTTGGTTGCCTGCTCTTTCCTGTTCCTTCTCCGTCTTCTGTACCACCCCCTCTTTTTTTCCCCCGTAAGTCTGTGTGCAGCTTTCAAGCCCTTGTTCAAAGGAGTCTGTTTTAGAATATGAAAATAAAACAACTAAGAAACAATATTGCTCATTAGACATAAATAAATACATTTTAATGCCAACTGATACAGATATGAACAATGCTGATCAGCATTCCAAAATGTTACTAGTTAGCTAAACAGTAGTTTTGATAGAAAACACAAACACCTTCAACTCTAAGTAACTAAAAATGCCCACATATTATGCCAAAACATTGCCTTTACTGATTTCCTCCACTTCTGCCAAAACAGAAAAAAAACACTCTGATCACAGGAGTGCTCTGGTACACATGAGAAGACACAGCTTCTCTCTTGGGCTTTACAGGGCTGTGGAAGGCACCTGTAATCCCCTCCTTGCCCTCGCTGCAGCACGCCCTCCCACCTCACTAGAGAACGCTCTCGATCAGAGCTGGGTGCAAGCACCACGGACGCTCAGCCTCCTGCCAAAGGAAATTGCTTCAGAAGGGCTTGATTTCAGATAACCCTAAAGTGAATTTTCAGCCATATGATCTCACCAAAAAAGGTTTACCTGCTTCTAGGTGCACGCTCCCAAATTCAAGGTGCTGTTTAGAATATAGTTCAGTAACAAATTTTTATTTTCTTTTTTAATTGACATCCAACTTTTTTTTATTCAGCATATGGCTTTAAGATTTTGATTAGTTAGTTTTATTAGCACTTGTAATGTATAAGACCAACAATACCAGGTGTGGTGCTCCAGCAGTGCTGAGAGCAGAAGCGACCTGATTTTTTTTTTTGATCAGCTGTCAAAACATTGTCAAGCCTCTGTAAGTAGTTATGTTAAAATGTTGAAAGAGAAAGATGTTTTTTGAAAAAAGAGAATGAAGAAATGACTGAGAAAGTTAGCCTGCAATAAAGGGAAAGGAATGAATTCAAACAAAGTATGTTGAGTATTTATGAAAGTTGCCTGATTTACCCACCTGGCAGGAATGTGGGAAACAACATACACCCCAGGAGCCATACTTGACCACCCAAAAGTTGCAATAGCATGAACAGCACA